GTCTATAATTCCAGCTACTCGCGAGCCTAAGGCAGGAGGATCGCTTGAACCCGGGAGGCAGAGGTTGCAGTGAGCCAAGATCGAGCCACTGCAATTCAGCCTGGACAACAAGAGTGAAACCCTGTCTCAAAAAAAAAAAAAAGAAAGAACACTGAAATCGAATATACACAGGAGGAAGGAGGATATAATGAGTTAAGCAAAGTGTGCAGAGCCCATTTCTGAAGAGGGAATCATGTCCTCTTAGCAAGCCTGGGGTGTATCTCTGGTTTGAGGCTTCATTAAAAGGTGTGGCCACAGTGTCTGAACACCCTATGGGGCCTAGGAATAACAGTGGCGCCAAGCAACTCCAGGTCAGTGACCTACACTGAAAGTATGACCTGAATGACACCCCCTTGGAGCTGTGTTTATCAAAATCACAGCGGGGACATAAGCCATGGGCAAAGCTCGAGTGGGCACTCAGGACCCAGTTGGTGGAGTCCTGAGGTGGAGTTAGAGGGCTGGCTCTTAGCAGGAGTCTTGGGTCAAGGGACAGTTGGTTGCAAGTCTCAGGCTGTTTTCAAACACAGCCTGAGCTTCAAGTGCAGCGGGAGACGTGCAGACGATCTCACAGTAACGATCACATGGTTACCTGGCTGAGAAGTTTCTCTCCTGGCCTTTGGCTCCCTAGGGGCAGTATTCTCCGAGGTAGAGTGGGGGTCCGGCTGGCCACAGAGTTGCTTACCCTCAGTGGGTGAACTGAATTTGGTCTCGTTTACAAAGGTGGACAGGTCCGAGGGCTGCGGGTAGTCCTGTTTGTCAGCCTCCAGGTCCACCGTCATGCACGTCCACTTCTGGTTGGTGACCGCCAGCTTTTCCTCATCTGTGGCGTGGACCACCGCGGAGATCACTGGTGGTGTTTCTGGTGTAGCAGCTGGGGTGGGGTCCTGCAAAGAGAAGAGCAACAGTGTCTTGTCTCATCAGACTCTTGGTCAGAAACTGCTCCCACCCTCAGGTCTGGGGACCCATTAGCCAGGACAGGTCCCGGTCACAATCCTCTGCATGCTTTTCTCGGACTCTGCTCCAAATGGCCCATTAAGGAAACAGATGGACACACAGATTCTTCCCTCTATGAATCTCCTTTTACGATGGTTTGTTTCAGGGAATGACCATGAATTTAAAAAAAAAGAAATCAGGATTTTGTGTCTTGGTTACTTGAGCTTTCCTGCTAGTTTTATGACTACGACAGCTGTGTGATGCTCACACAGTGCTTCAGGCTTGCATATCAATATCACCAGAATCACCTGACCATCATCACACCAGTCCCCGGAGGCAGAAAAAGGGGGATCTTATCTCCATTTCCATAGGAGAGTGGGAAGTGGAGTAGGGCAGGGTGGGAACCTAGAGAGGTCAGGGCAGAGCTGCAGCTGGGACCTGAGCCCCTATCCCCAGGGCTGCGTGCTTCCCTCCACTGCCCCCACCCTGGCCAGGGTCTGCAGGCTGGGGCTTTGCTGGCTCAGACTTGGAGGGGCGGCAGGTCTGCTTGTTTTATGACCCAGAAATTAGCCCTAACCGTATGACTGACAGGCTTGAGGATAACTTTCCTTGGTCTGTAAAGGGTAGAAGAAATGGAATTTATCTGATGGAGGAACTGGTAAGAGGGACTCTAATAAAGAAAGAACCCAAGCCACACTTCCTTACAGAAGGGGGTTCCCTTTGCTTCCCACTCCAATTTTGGCTACACAATTCAGTGCTCCTGACACTTGCTGAGTTTCTTCATCTTCTCACTGCGTATTTGTTCATCTCAAGAGACTTTCTCGACTCGACAGTCCTAGAAGTTCACAGCAGATGAACTGGCCTGAATGGAGCAGAGCAGGTCCTCTAGAGCCCAACTAACGTTTTTCCTGAATGTCTTCCTACTCTCGGGACACCCTCTGATCTTCCGCAAAGTGAAGGGATCAAAACAACGTCGGGCAAACATCGAGGGACCCTCCACACAGGAGGCAAGAAGAGGGTCTTGGAAACATGATCTTGGAAACAGGCCCGGGATGAGCAGAAAGCAAAGCTTTGGCAACAAGGGAGGAAAACCCCCCTGGGGGGGGAGGGCATAAAACCATCAAGATCAAAGGAACACTGTACCTGGGAAGGTGGATCAGAGAGAGGAGACCGTTTTGGCGACTTTTTCACCCTAAATGTATCACTGGAAACAAAATGGAAAACGTAAACACAACAAGCAGAGGGATGGAACACTCCAGAGCAGCACAGAGCGGACCGAAGCTACTGCCTCTGCGGAGCCATCTGGCCCAGGCCACCCTCCCGCCTCTGCCACTGCAACACCAGCGAGCAGACGGCCACGCTGGCTACCCACTCTCACTTTTTAACAGCTATTATTTTTGCCCCCAAGGGAAAGATCCATCAAGCTGGAAATCTTTAAAGAGATGCCATTTTGGAGAACGACCCAGAAAATGAAGCTAAATTTAACTAAATGTTCTTATTTTATAAAGCAAATTTTTGGTGAGCAGATTAATTTATCCGGATTCTTCCAGGGATGTCTGAACCCAACTAAGGCTCAGGGAGGGGCTCCAGGCTCAGGACACCGATTTACAGACGGGCAAGGCGACACCTCACTTAAGGAACAATTGAAGGAGGCCACGCAGAAAGAAAGTTCGAGGTCCTCAAGGAGAACCTGCTGAATCCTCCCTATCACAGGGTCCTCAAGCTCAATGGATTCCCATGCTCTGAAGGCTTCTAGGTGGAATCCTGACGAAAGCTAGGGCCAGGGGAGAGATGAATTTTTTGGTCTTCTCCTAACCACGGCAAACAGACAAGATTCACAGCTCTTCTCTCCCTGTTTCTCCTTCATATGAATAGCGGGGCTGGGAGGCAAAGGAAACACCAAATCAGACTCCTGAAGGGTCAAGGAAGCAGATCCCAGGAGGAAGGGATGACTTTTAGCCTGAGCAGTTCCATTCAGTCCACCGAGCAGTCTGGGGGTCACTTCCACAGTCAGAATGGGGGCTCTTTCCACCCTGTAGACTGGCCCCTGCCCCGTTTCAGCCCCTCCATGGGATGGTCTCACTCCCAGCAAAGCAAAGGCTTTGGGGGACGATCCCTCTCCTTACATCCCACCGCCCTCCCCTGCTTTGCACGTTAACTGGGTGGGCAGAGCAATTTAATTTGGCACTCAAGTTCCTTCCTTGTGTTCTCTCACATCACTCCAACAATGGCATTTAATCATGAAAAAAAATACTACAAATGGCTATTTACAGCTCTTATAACATTTGCCATTAAAACAGTGCCATCGCAGCTTGAAGCATATATTTATTCATGCATATAAATATATAATCATATATTTTATAGTTGCTAAGTGGCTC